TCACTGTGATAGGCTGATGCAACACCTTGCCTGTCTGTTGTTGCATAAGAGGACTGGTTTTCCCCCTAGGTAGCTTGCGATTGCCGCTTGATGGACGACTTTAATCAAATTTACTTTTAGGATTCCTTTTTCCACGATTGCAACGCCACCAAATTGAATTAATCGGGCTTTGCAGGGCGCTTTACATAGTTTGTCATTTCAGTAGTTGGGATAGATGCTACCACCTCGCATAAAGTGTAATAGACTAGTCACACAGCCAAAAAACATCTTTCAATCTACGCTCAGCCCCGAAGCAGACTAACTGATATTCAGCTATTGCTGACTCACAAAGCGACCTTGCCGCCGCGTGAGAAATATTTCCGACGGAAATACAAGGCGCGCAGACACACACACAGGAGAAAGTGATAATGGTGACAGACACCCGATTTCGCATGCACCCTCGGGAATTAGAACAAACCTTAAGACTGTGTGTATGGGAATACGCCGTTATGAGGTATGCTAAATTACGAGGGATGAACTATGTGTCTTACTTCACCGGTATTTTGACTAGCCAATAAGCGTGCACCATGACGGTAACTTCGTCTAGCGACTTACTCACGTATTTTTTGGTGGTTAATTTGAGTATTCGTCGTTTATTTATTATATTATTTAAAAATCCGGTCAAAATATGGCGTTTAGGAGTTCGTCTACGTCAACTTACCTGACATCCAACTTATCGTGCTGGAGTTAGTTTATATTTGTTCGCGGCGCGAAGCGCCCCACACACCTCAAATTTACATGCCTTACAATTAAAATGCCAAAAAATCTTTTTCATTGCAAAAAATGAAGAATTACATTATCCATGGCACGAGGTAACATTGGATTTTATCCAACTTAAACTAGCCAATAGGCGCTCGCACCGCTACTTTTGACACCGGTGGAATAAAGCAAATAGGCTCTCTGTGTAAATGCCCTGTCTCAAACGTCTCAGATCTCCTTACCTTATAAGCTCAGTAGGAAAGTCGTTCCTCTGTGAACCAGGAGAGCATTGGAAATTAGTCCACAGAACTGACGGGTGTTTAGATTAGGTAGGGCACGCGATGTAGATTCGATTTAGTCTTGCAGGAAAACGTTTCCTGGTTGTGCGATTTCCTTGCGTCCCGCCTACGATTCATTATAACAATGTCGTGTCTTTCTCCTGCTCTTTTAGAGCGGAATGCATTAGGCGAACGAGGCGAGGGTGCATCAAACAATGCCCATCTGACTGAGTAAAGATGAAACTTCATCGATCTCGCGTTCTATTCTTGCACACCGTGCCCATAAAAATCATCGAGTCGATTCCAATGAAACTTTTCAGGTTGCCTATGCGACATCAGCCAACTCCTCTAAGGGTCTACACCAACGGGTGCTAGCAAAGGCCGAG